CTTGCTTCAGACGTGTTCAAAACCTGAGTTTTCTGTGGTGCTCGTGACTTGCAGCAGATTGCTGTGAAAACTGGTGCGTAGGATGGAAATAAGATGTAATAGCAGCTGGCTGCCAGTATAGCAGCCAGGCGCAGCAAAGCTTCAGATACATGATGCAGGCATCATTCAGGTACCCACATTTAGCCTTAAGATTGTTGCCTTCTGGTTGATAGCATCTGTTCCATTTGGCTTTCTGAGTACTGGTTTTTATTTTTTTAAAAAAATAGTTAAAAGACTGGTCACTTCAAATCTCCTGGGGGCGATGGGCATGATACTTAAGGAAACCCATGCAATTTCAAATTAGGGACCACCCATTTTCTTTGATCATATGGGATTGGTATGTTAACAAACACGTTTTATAGCATTGCAGCACTTAGTGTTACTCCTTATCTAATGTAGCATTTCGGCAATAACTCATAAAGTATGATTTTGAAGATTGTCACATGAGTCCTGCTTTAACAGTTCACATATTTTGGGCTGAGTCTCTCACGTTAAGACTTGAATTGTGGCCTCAGGAGACTAAATCAACTTTCTGCAACTGGGTACCCTCTCTGCCCCTCCCCCATTAAAAATCAGGGTGCAGATGCTTGAATGACCACCTGTAACGTTTGTTAACTTGCAGTAGCAACTATGGATATCTCTTACCTGTTCATATTTCCAAAATGGATTGGGCCGTGTTAAAAAGCACACTTATATTGCAGATTGCAGGGAAGAAAAAAAATGATAAATTTGTACGTTGGTCGCTCCTCAGATTTGTGCAAGACTGACAACAATTTTAAGAATTGCAAGCAACCAGACGTCTGAATTGCAATGCAAAATTGGCCTGTATTTTTCCTACTAAAAGCTTTGGGGGTATTCGTATAAATCTTCCTTCTCAAATTAAATCAAAGTGAGCATAAATAAAACCTGCTTCTTTAAAAAAAACTAAGCTCTAGCATATTTCTTTCCCAACCCCCCAGAGGTGAATTGATTTGACCTCAGGGAATATCAATTGTGAACAGCTAACATCAGTGACTTTCTGCAAATAGTTGGAACAAGCAGAAAAATATTTTAGGCTGCTGCAGAATTTTAGCAGAAAGCTGCCTCCTTTAGGAATCCTCTGGGGAGCCTGGGGCACTCTCTTTAAAGCCATGCGCACGGGGAAAGTGCAAAGTTGCACGTAGCACAGCAGGGTGGAGCATCTTAACCAAGCAGAGTCAGTCTAAAATCCTGGAATAAACAGAGACCTGAAGCAAGAACAGATTTTCATGGCAGCTTGAGGAACCCTATTTAAAACTTGAGAAATTACGATTAAGTGATGCCTGTTCTTTTAGGTGCTTGGGCTCTTCCCAAAGTGAAATTTGGTGGTTCCTTTGTTACGTTAGGAAATGTAATTCTTAAAACATGTCATTTAAAAGTTTTATTTTTCTCATTTTGTTCTTTTAATTGCAAGGTGGTGTCTCGACTGTGAACCCAAAATGTTGAGCGTGTTTTGCCTGTGAGGTGTATAGGATAGTCTTAATTAAGCTCAAATCACTTTTATTCCTGAACATTACACATTCGTTATTAGATTTATATCCTGCTTTTATTTTGTACAGTGTGATATGGCGGTTATTTGAGATTCAATATGTAGTTTGACTCTTTAACGGTCTTTCCTAGCATAAAATTCTCCCAGAATTTTAACAGTAGGCACTCATGAACTTGTTGAGTCCTCCAGTCTACTGTTCTTTAGCATTCATAGCATTTAATGGCCACACACCAATGGGAATCTTAAGAGTGGTCAGCATTATATCTGCATAGCCCTGGGAAGATGGTTCATCTACATTTAAGGGCTGCCTCTGAAGTGGTTCAGTTTGCATTTTTGGCATAATTTCTGCCCTGCATTCAGCAAAAAGGTCTCTGAAGCCAGACCCACATTTTGCACCATCCCTTGTCCTGTTTGGGATTGGATCATGGCAATGGATTGGTGCAGCAAAGGTGCATGGACTGGTACATGCAATTGCAGTTCAGAGGAGTAGCGCATTTATGGGTTATACTAAATTTGCTCCGCCTCCTTCCTGAGCAAGGACATAAGTTAAGCAATAGGAAACAAGTGTCAGATGAATTGGGGAGGCCTCTGTTGCTCCTTGAGACGTCATGAAATGTTTTATCCTTGAATTACAAAACTGCTGTTACGAGGACAAAACAGGACGCCTAGGATCCAAAGGGAGATTTTCAGAGCTCAGACTAGTCTTGTTTCAGGTTAAAAACACCTCCCCAATGCTGAAAGTGACTTCTCTCTCTCTCTCTCACCCTCCAAGTGGAGTATTTCTGAGAATTCTCTGCACGGAACACTTCGAGATAAAACATTTGGTGTACCTGCTCCTGAATGTTACTGAGAACTGTAACTTTGTGTTCTTGCTTTAGATATCAACTGTCAGCAACCATGTCGACCAATGACGCTTTCATCCAGACCCAGCAGCTGTACGCTGCCATGGCAGACACGTTTTTGGAACATATGTGCCGACTGGACATTGATTCCCCACCAGTCACAGCAAGAAATACTGGCATTATTTGCACCATCGGTAAGTTAGGGGTGAGCCTCCAAATGGAGATTGGCTTGGGGACACCCCTGTGTGTCAGTTCAGTTCATATATGGAACATCTGTCTAGCTAAGAGACTTCCTATTAAAGTCTTGTTCCTGCCATACCTGCAAAGCGATCCATTGACATCCCTTTTCAGGAAGTTTGACATGCTGAATGTAACTATTTAACAGACTTGGAAGGGACCTTGGAGGTCTTCCAGTCCAGCCTCCTGCACAAGCAGGGGTCCCTATCTCATTTTAGACCATGTCATTTCGTGTCATTTATTTAAATAAGGAAATGGGATACATGTCAAAGTAAAGAAAAGTGAGTTGCAAACTTGTAGAGGAAGAGTAAGGTCTTAGCTTGATAAGGAGCTATGGATGTAGAGATTTTAGCAATGGACCTCTGCTCACAAAGTTTTATCTGTGTCTCTTAGGTCCGGCTTCTCGGTCAGTAGAAATGCTGAAAGAAATGATTAAATCTGGAATGAACGTTGCCCGTCTCAACTTCTCTCACGGAACTCATGAGGTACAAGAAAATCAGACGAAAACCCAGGGCAGGAATTGATGGGAATGGAAAGAAAACCTCTTTCTGACATAGAAGCAAAGCAGCAGTAATAAATTAGGGATTCTTATTCAATAAGCACTGAATTCAGTAACACAGACTAATCTCGGCCTCCAGATTTAGGCTTATAATTTCAGATGTCCTGCTCGATGAAACAATGTCCAGCTTCACAAAATAATTCTAATAAGCGTGGATGCTACAGTTCTTTGCCACGTATGCATGGTGCACTGCTGTCCCTTTTCTGGTAAAATGAGATTGGATTATTTTGTAAGGCTAATGATTCCTGCTGCCTTCTACTTGGTTGACTTAAATGGTCTTCCCTCTGAGGTCAACGTGGATTGAATTACTTCTAGTTTCAAATGGCAGCAGACCTCAAATGCCTGGGTTAAACAAAAACAGAATTGCGAAAACGGAATGTGAAATGAGTAGGGCCTGAAAAAAGATCACACAATAAAGTCTTGGCCATCTTAAAATAGAGAGCACTGGCCAGAAAGCTCTGTACAACTTCTGGACACATAGAACAAATATCAAAAGATTAAAAAACAACAACCCTGCATCTTCCCTTAAGCCAGGACTGTCCAGTGCTGAAAGACAGTTTAGCTGTCGTTCCCGTTACTAGATCCTGCTGCATGCCTTCCACAAGATCCTGAAACACTTGATTTGGTTAGCTCTAAGTATCCCTGCAGATTTGAAATGGTCGAACCAAATTTTACTGTGATGTTTGAAAGCTAAATGAAATTTTACTGAGTGCCAGGCAGGATATGTTAACTGGATGAAGTGATAACATTTTAAAGGATCCAAGTAATTCCTGGAATGAAAGGTTTCCAACTTTGATAAGGTAGTGCATCTGTTTCCAAAATAAATCAGATCTGCCTTAAGGATCAGCTCTGTGGCCTTTGAAAAGCATTTCACTTTAAGGTCACAAGAATTGTGGTACTTTGCAGGAGAAGAGGACAATCCCACTTCTATAAATAAAGCAGCCTTCTCAGCAGTACAACTTATGGTTAGGAGATACTCTCCCCCCCCTCCTGCCCCCATCTACATCTTTTCTTAAAGGCCACCAGGCTGCTCTTCACTTCCAAAAGGTCAAGCTACCAATTGAAAAACCTTAGTGGAGTTTCAGTTTAGTGCACAAAATGCTATGCCTTGTTCATCTACCTTTCTTAAAAACTGGCTCCCCCCCTTAAAGCTTGATCTTAAATTAATAAATTCTCAAGTATCATACATGCTTGTAGATGAACTGAGAATTTTAGATGCCACAATACTCCTCAAAAATTGGGTTCAGCTTAACCCTGGATGAACTTATCTACATATATACGTGGTAATAAAAGTCCTCGTATATACTTGTGGATAAGCCTATTTGGATATGCTGACCCATGAATTTTTAACTAAAATACCATAAGACAATTGTAAAAAAACATAAAAAAATTTCCTGTTTTAACTAGAGATGGCATATTGCTTATAATATTTTGGCAGAACACTCGGCTTACCAGTGGAGTGGGCTTATTCTCAAGTATACGTATATACAATAGTTACAATTACTGATTAATTGCCTTCTTTAAATCTTCCTTTACTGACTTCAGCACAGTTTTGGCACTCTGGTAGTGAAGTGAAATAATTCTCTAGCTTAACGTTTCTTGTGGGATCTTGGCTTGATTTTTAACCCTGAGTTATAGTGAGTTCAGAGATAGGTATAAACCAATTGTCCCATCAAAAAAAAAAAGTCTAGATATGGATTTAATGGATGGTGTTTAGCAAATTGAGGCAGCAAGACTAAACTAAGCAAACAGTTACATTTATTATATAAGATTTGCACATTCCTCTCTTTTAGTATCATGCAGGAACAATCAAGAATGTACGAGAAGCTACCGAAAGCTTTGCTTCTGATCCGATTTCCTACAGACCTGTTGCTGTTGCCCTGGATACCAAGGGGCCTGAGATTCGAACTGGGCTCATCAAGGGGGTAAGTGGGTTTCTGTCATTGCGGGTTTCAGCATGGCTCAGCTTGGAAACTCTCCCTTTCCCCTCAGCATGGCTGGTTCAGGAATAAAAGTCATAAAAGAGCCAAGGTTATCTACTCCTGGCCTAGACTGACTTTCTCTCCCCAGTGATTAAGAATATAGCAGTGGATCACAGAGCAGTTATATAGTAGAGCAGGGGTCCCCAATCCCCGGTCTGTGGACTGGTACCGGGCCACAGCATGCCAGCAACCGGTCCGCACACACAAGCAAAGCCCCATCTGTGGGATGCAGACAGTACACAAAACCACGCACTCTCCAGTCGACAGAAAAACCTCTCTCCACAGAACCGGTCCCTGGTGCCCAAAAGGTTGGGGGCCTTTGTAGTAGACTTTCCAGATTAATCTAAAGCAGTGGTTCTCAACCTTTTAAATGCTGTGACCCCCAACCGGTCGTAAGTCGAGGACAACTCAACTGGTCATAAGTCGAGGACTAAACTGGTGCAGCACCGTTTGCAGAATGGGACTTTTGGCGGGCTCAGCAGGGCAGAGACAGCCTGGACAATTCCTATTGGCTTTGGAAAGCCAATAGAATTAGACTCTATTCAAGAGAGTCTATTCTATTGGTTTTCAAAAGCCAATAGAATAAAAGGGAGTAGCACAGCTAAGGAAAAGGGGGGGAAATGACGGACTGCGTTGTTTGGCGACCCCCGTGAAACGGTCGTTCGACCCCAAATGGGGTCCTGACCCACAGGTTGAGAACCACTGGTCTAAAGCATGGAGCCCTGCAGAAAGAGGGGGAAGTTACCTGCGTTGGCTTCCTGCACCTTCTGGAGATGTTGCTTTTGGATGGTCTTGGGATGTGGGGCCCCAGAATCCCTGTGGTTTCAACTTGATTTCTGCCTGCAGAGTGGTACAGCAGAAGTGGAGCTTAAGAAGGGTGCAACTCTGAAAGTGACTCTCGACAACGCTTTTATGGAGAAGTGCGATGAGAATGTATTGTGGGTGGACTACAAAAATATCACCAAGGTTGTGGAACTCGGCAGCAAAATCTACGTGGACGATGGGCTTATTTCCCTTAAAGTGAAAGAGAAAGGTAAGTTCTGCCCAGAGTCCTTTGAAATGAGATGAGCGGCAAATAAATCTAATAAACGAATTCCAAATAATGCACCCAAAGTCTTAAATAGAAATATCTCATTAGACCCACCGTTTACAAAGTTTGGCCGGTCCGGTGGGGGCCTTACAAACTTTACAAAATCACAGCATCGCCATTTACGTTACTTGCAAGGATGCAAACTGGCTTGATGATCCTCTCAACTCAAAAGGCTTATTGAAAAATGTTTCTCCCCCCCTCTTTTTATGACCCTGTCATCCCTTTTATGAGGTGGGTGTCGAGGCAACTGAATGGAGTTGAGAGTTTACTGACCCGATGCCTTCCTGACACCTAAGTGGAGTTCACGCAGATATTTTCTCTTTGTGCCCTGGTAAAGAAATATCTGTCCTTGCCTAGCATCAAACGCTCAGCTTCCTGAGTGGGAGGCGAGCGTCTTCACCTTTAGACCATCACTTATTAAAAAAACATTCTCTATGCCAGTGGTTCTCAACCTTTTTAATGCCATGACCCCCCAACTGGTTGTAAGTCGAGGACTACTCAACCGGTCGTAAGTCGAGGACTACTCAACTGGTGCAGCACCGTTTGCAGAATGGGACTTTTGGCGGGCTCAGCAGGGCAGAGACAGCCTGGACAATTCCTATTGGCTTTTGAAAGCCAATAGAATTAGACTCTATTCAGAGAGTCTATTCTATTGGCTTTCAAAAGCCAATAGAATAAAAGGGAGTAGCACAGCTAAGGAAAAGGGGAAAAAATGGCAGACTGCGTTGTTTGGTGACCCCCGTGAAATGGTTGTTCGACCCCAAATTGGGTCCCGACCCACAGGTTGAGAACCACTGCTCTATACCATAATCTATATCAGTTTATGGACCAGTAACGGGTTGCAGCATGCCAGCAACTGGTCCGCACACACAAGCAAAGCCCCATCCGCGGGATGCAGGCAGCACACAAAACCACGCACCCTTCGGTCCGTGGAAAAACCTCTCTCCATGGAACTGGTCCCTGGTGTCCAAAAGATTGGGGACCTCTGATCTATATAACAGCCAATTTGACCAAAGTTCTTTTGCAAAGATGTCAAGAGCCTACAAGAGTTCAAGGTGACCATGTTGATCCCAAAGGTGCTTTTCCAAAAGGCAGCTGGACTGAAGAAGCTTCTTCAGAAAGTCCAGTTGCCTTTTTTTGGGGGGGGGGAAACACCTTTGGGACAACCATGACCTGGACAATTGAGCATCTCCACAGACATTGACCCTGTTGATGTTTCAAATCCTTGGCAGGTGCTGACTTTATCATAACCGAAGTTGAGAACGGAGGGACGTTGGGCAGCAAAAAAGGGGTCAACTTACCTGGGGCTGCTGTAGACCTGCCTGCTGTTTCCGAGAAGGACATCCAGGATCTCAAGTTTGGTGTCGAGCAGGACGTGGACATGGTGTTCGCCTCCTTCATCCGTAAAGCGGCTGACGTTCATGCTGTCAGGGAAGTGCTTGGGGAAAAGGGGAAGAACATCAAGATCATCAGCAAGATTGAAAACCACGAGGGGGTTCGCAGGTGAGGGGCTGGTTTAAGAAGTCATACCTGAGGCTTATTTGATCCAGGCCTTGCCAGATAACTTTATTCGGGTTTTCCTTTTGGCTTCGAAAATCACTTGTCTCTCTGTTGCCTGAAATGCTCAGCAGACTTGACTCTCCCCCCCTCCCCCCCGGTTGTATACTATTTGACACATATAAAGGTAGTCCTCGACTTGCGATCACAACTGAGGCCAACATTCCTGTTGTTAAATGAGGCATTTTGTTAAATCAGCTTTGCCCCATTTTACAGCATTAATCATTACAGTGATGAATATTTATATGTTACTTATGTGTAAGGGTGTGGGTCTATACATATGTTGTACAGAGTATGTTTAAATGTGTGTTATGTATGTGTACGCTTTGAGAGCAAGCAATTAAATTTCATTTTTAATGTGTGCCATTGTGCCCACGGTAAAAAATGACAATAAAGGTTGCCTGCCTGCCTTCCTGCCTGCCTATCTATCTATCTATCTATCTTCTATATATCAATCTATATCATCTATCTGTCATCTATATCATCTCTCTTTATATATCAATCTATATCTGTATCCTCTATCCTCTACATATCTATATCATCTATCTATCATCTATATCATCTCTCTATATATATCAATCTATATATCTGTCTATATCATCTATATCAATATCATCTATCCTCTATATCAATCTATATCTATATCATCACTCTTTATATATCAATCTATATCTCTATCCTCTATCTATCCTCTATATATCAATCTATATCATCTCTCTATATATATATCAATCTATATATCTGTCTATATCTCTTTATCATCTATATCAATATCATCTATCCTCTATCAATCTATATCATCTGTCTATCATCTATATCATCTATATATATCAATCTATATATATATGTCTATATCAATCTATATCATCTATATATCAATCTATATCTAATCTGTTTCTGCTCACAGTTGTTAAGCAAATCACTGCAGTTGTTAACCTGATTGTTAAGGGAATCTGGCTTCCCCCCCCTTTGACTGCTTGTCAGAAGGTTGCCAAAGGGGATCACATGATCCCGGGACACTGCGACCGTCGTAAATATGAACCAGTTGCCAAGCCTTTGAATATTGATCCTGGGGATGCGGCAACAGTCATAACTGAAGGTCACTTTTTTCAGTGCCATTGTAACTTTGAACTCCCTGAACGAACGGTTGTAAGTCGAGGTCTAATTGTAGTTAACAGGACTTGCCAGTCTGCTCCCCTCCCCCCCTTGGCTTCTCTCCCCACATAGCTGCCTGCCTTTCCCGTAATCCTTCTCTCTTTTCAGATTTGATGAAATTATGGAAGCCAGTGACGGCATCATGGTAGCCCGGGGTGATCTTGGTATTGAGATTCCAGCCGAAAAAGTCTTCCTTGCCCAGAAAATGATGATTGGCCGATGCAACCGAGCCGGCAAGCCTATTATCTGTGCTACTCAGGTATTTGAAGATGTTGAGCAAAGCCGCTTAAGGGCTCTGCGGCCCTGGAGAGCTGTCTTGCTCGGCAGTTCTTACTGTGGCATCTTGTGCCCGTATCGCTAAGGGAAATAAAAGAGGACAGAGGTTAGTGGGGTGCCTGAAATAGCCAAAAAAAAAAAAAAAGTTACTATGGAAGCTCGTCCGGAACCATTTTTAAAGCGTCCTACAGGTTAGCCTATAGAATTAAGGATTTGAACTTGGCTGAGTGTCCTTAGATTTTTTTACCTTGTCCTTTACAGTGGTTAGTTCAAACGTTCTTGCAGAGAAAGGCACTTTGTTACAGCAATGTCTTGGAACTTGGAGGAACATGGATTCCTATTCTGCTTAATTGGACTGGTGGGGAAGTGTTGCTGATGAGGCAGATTGTTAGGACACCCCAAAGCCAGAGGTTAATTCAGGAATTCAAACACACACACACAAACACACACATACTTCTCCCAGAAGCTGTGACTCCGCTTCAAAGTGTGGTAAAAATAAACGAGTGATTGCAACTGAAGCAATATGCGCTAAGAGCTTTAACACAATTAAACAATTGGCATAAGCCCTCTCTTACAATAAGGTAATTGGCTCTGAAGGCAGTTTGAATCAGCTCAGGGCTTAGACTATAAATCTTGAGGTTGCATTTCTTTAGCAGAACTTTAGAGGTAGTTTGAAGCTAGGTAGGTTCCCCTGGATGGGGAACTACTTCTATTAAAGGGCTAATTTTTTTTTGGCCTTGAGGACAGTTGATGCCTTCCTTTGACCCCTGCAGCTTTGTTAGATAGAACTAGAATTTTTCTTGTTAGTTGCGAAGTCGTGTCTGACCCATCGCGACCCCATAGATAATGTTCCTCCAGGCCTTCCTGTCCTCTACCATCTTCTGGAGTCCATTTAAGCTCACGCCTCCTGCTTCAGTGACTCCCTCCAGCTACCTCATTCTCTGTCGTCCCCTTCTTTCTTGCCCTCCATTTTTCCCGGCAGGTAGTTAGAATAGTAGAGCTAAGGAATAATTTCCTGACAGTGAGAACAATCAATGGAACGATTTGCTTCCATAAGATGTGGGTGCTCCATCATTAGAGGTTTTTCAGAAGCAATTGGATAATCATTGGTCTGGAATGGTATTGGGTTTCCCTGTCTGAGCAGGGGGTTGGACTAGAAGACCTCCAAGGTCCCTTCCAACTCTCTTATTCTGTTAACATGATGAGAAGTGTCACTTTTCTTTGCAAGATCATTTTAATAGGGCGACTTTGTCCTGGAGTGGAGCAAGTAACTTTAGTTTCCCTGCCAGATAATTACTACTACTACTATTACTGCTACTACTACTAATATAATAATAATGTTGGAAGGGACCTTGGAGGTCATCTAGTCCAACCCCCTGCTCAGGCAGGAAACCCTACACCATTTCAGACAAAGGGCTGTCCAGTCTCTTCTTAAAAACTTCCAGTGTTGGCGCATTCACCGCTTCTGGAGGCAGGTTGTTCCACTGGTTAATTGTTCTAACTGTCAGGAAGTTTCTCCTTAGTTCTAGGTTGCTTCTCTCCTTAATTAGTTTCCATCTGTTGCTTCTTGTCCTGCCTTCAGGTGCTTTGGAGAACAGCTTGACTGCCTCTTCTTTGGGGCAGCCCCTGAGATATTGGAACACTGCTATCGTGTCCCCCCTGGTCCTTCTCTTCATTAAACTAGACATTCCCAATTCCAGCAACCGTTCCTTGTATGCTTTAGCCTCCCGTCCCCT